GAAAGAGTGCTGTTGTGTTCTTAGAGATCTATGATTATTTAAAATACTATTTACCTTCTTCCTTTCTGTTTTGTTGTTGGTGCAGTTTTGGGGATGTGGATTGGCTCTTTCAATGCTCCTTTCAGATGAATGGTCCTTTCTTGTATCACTTCCCGGATGTGTTTGATCCAGTCCTGTTTATTCTCTATACAGGATGCCTTTGATATGCAAAAGAAACAAAACCCCCACAATGGACTATATCACTGAGAAGATCCACACGTATAGTCAGTGAATAAACACAACAGAGGAAGGCATAAAGAATGACTCTGTGGGTCACTTTTGGAAACCTGAAATTATGGCAGTGTTAAGACTGACCAAATTTTGTTTTTCAGTGATGCTGGATTTAATTTCCTCACACTCATTGATTGCTCTCAGAAGACTAACGTGAGCTCTTAGCCTGTAATTCACTAGGAAAACATATACATTTTAGCAGCAACATGTAAATTTAAGTGGCCATTTTTAAGTGGCATTATTGAGTAACCACAAAAAAAAAAGTGAAAATATTAAGAAGTTTAATAGTAGGTATATGAACCTGTAAATGGGAAGATGAACTTTTTTCAGCTCAACACAGCTAAGAAATACATAAGAAGTTTCAAAGCTGGCATAGTCCTCAAAATATGTCAAATTACACATTAGCTACCTGTGATACTACAAGAAAGTTCATCAGATGAAACACAAGTCCTAGGTTACAGGACTTGTTACCAGGTTACCAGAGTCACAGGAAAAATGGGTTTAGCAATTCTTGTAGCTAGGCAAAGAACACTACTGACACCTTTAACTTCCCTGGACACAAAATTTATAGGCAGTGCTTGCACTCTCATCTAAAGGCAAGGATTTTCAGAAAAGCTTGTAGCCCTCAGAAAGACATAAAATCTTTTTAAACATTTCTATTGCTGCATAAAAGTCTGGCCCATGAAAAACAGCATCACCAACAAGCAGCAATGACTTGAGCATGAAATGTAACATGACACTGTGGCATGAGTTGCTCTGTCAGCTGGTGGCTGAGTCTTCAAGCTACACAAGTCCGTGGGATCAAACCTGTCCCTATTCTGATTTGGGAAAGCAAATTTTAATTCTTCAGCAGACCACACAGATTCCTTTCTGCTGTCAAGCCATGTGAGTCAGATACATACCACATCCTTTACACTCAAAGGAAAACTATCTGTCAGCAGTTGTCCCTCGCAGAGCAGAAGTCATGTCTTGTTGCCTTCCCAACAAGTATGAGTAACAATTACAAGACTTAGTACAGACTGTACAAGTAAATCTGCTAAAATTACCTTGAGAACAATTTTGTTGTCTGAAGTTGGTGTCCTTCCAACCCATAAAGCAAACTTGCAGGGATCTCCTTCTACATGTTCTGTGACACCCAGTTCAGAAGTCTGCAATTAAGAAGAATTTGTTAGGATGATGCAGCATTTTTTTCTCATAAGCCACAAAGGGGTGCTAATATACTAAATGATTGAGCTCTGCTATTTAAAGAGATTTTTAGAAGATTAAGGCTAACTCTTGTGCTAGAGAGAATCCTTTATCCTGGTGGCAGTGGTGGGGTTTCTTTAAAAAGGGAAGAACAGCTAAAGAGTTTTTCCTGTAGCGTAACAATAAAGAATAGCATTTATAACCTGAATACCAAATTGCTTATTTTAAATTTTTGACTTGGCAATAAAAGCCTTATAACTCTAAAAAAAAGATACTTGGCAAAAAAATAAGTCTTGTCTTCTCTCCCTGTTGATTTCCATTAGGGGATACTCACTACTTATGTTTTCTCTCAGATAAGGTATGCTTAAGAATTCTCTTGATAGCCTCTAAAACTCTGATCTCTTTTCTGCCAAAGGAGCCTTTCCTAGTGTGTTTCCTTCCTTCTGAAACAGAAGAAATGCAGTTTCCCTGGAGAAGTTCATTGGACAAGTACATTGACAATCAGTCTTCGGGAATGTTCTAATGTCAGATCTTGATAGCTAATTATCATCCAAAATGTTTTCACTTTCCAACTGGAACAACATCTCAGTCATGTGAATTTGGCTTCTAGTTAAACAATTCATATAGGCTGTGCTCAAAAAAAAAATTACAAACTAAGAAATATAGCTCAAGCTACAAGAACCCTCACTCCAAAAGACAGCTGCTAACCATGCTTGCATTATCAGAAGCTGTATTTTTCCCATCATATGCACCACCACGAGCATATACACAGTATGTAAAGCAAGTAAAATACTTAATCCAACATGCAATTATGAAATTCAAAGAAAAGATACCCTACCATGCTGCTCAATATAAAGCCTGAATGGGGAAGAAAGTACAATTTCTAACACTGTTTATTTTTTAAAGCCTAGTAGAGAATCAAAGAATGGTTTGGACTGGAAGGGACTTTAAAGATCAGGTAGTACCAACTCCCCTCCCACTAGGCCAGCTTGCACAAGGCCCCACCCAACCTGGTCTCAAACACACACACTGATGGAGCATCCACAGCTTCCCTGGGCAGCTTGTTCCAGTGTCTCACCACCTTCAGAGTGAAGAACTTCTTCCTTACATCCAATCTAAATCTATGCTCTTCTACTTTGGAGTCATTAGCCCTCATCCTATCATGTCAGGCCCTTGTAAAAAGTCCCTCCCCAGCTCTCTTGTAGGCCTCCTTCAGATACTAGAAGGCCACAATAAGGTCACCTCAGAGCTTTCTCTTCTCCAGGCTGAACAATACCAACTCCCCTCAGCCTGTCCTCACAGGAAAGCTGCTCCAGCCCTTGGATCATCTTTGTGGCTCTCCACTGGACACGCTCCAATAGGTCCATGTTCTTCTTGTGTTGGGAGCTCCAGAGCTGGTGGTCTTAAGAGAGCAAGAGCAGACGGGCAGAATCGCCTCCCTTGACCTGCTGGCCACACATCTCTTGGTGCAGCCCAGGACAGAGCTGGCTTTCTGGGCTGCACTCACATGTTGGTTCATGTGGAGCTTTTCATCAACCAGGACCCCACAGTATTTCTCCTCAGGAGTACTCTCAATCCATATTCCACCTAACCTGCTTGAGAATTGCCCCAAACCAGGTGCAGGACCTTGCACTTGGCCTTGTTGAATTTCATGGACTTGGCATGAATGAGCCCACCTCTCAAGCCTGTCAGTGTCCGTCTGGACGGAGCCCTTCCCTTCAGCGTGTTGACTGCACCAGACAGCTCAATGTCATTGGCAAACTTGCTGAGGGTGCACTGAATTCCACTGTCCATGTCACTGACAACGATGTTAAACACCAGCAGTGGTCACAGAACCAGTCCCTGAGGAACAGCACTTGTCACTGGTCTACACTTGGATACAAAGCCACTGACTGCAGTGAGTGTGATCATCCAGCCAATTCCTTATCTACCACGCAGTGCACCAGTCAGATCCATGTCTCTCCAATTTAGAGACCAGGGTGTCATGCAGGACAGTGTCAAATGCTTTGTACAACTCCAAGTAGATGACGTTGGCGGCTCTTCCCTTACCCACCAGTGCTGTAAGTCCACCAGATTTCTTAGACACTATTTTCCCTCAGTGAAGCCACGTTGGTTGCCACCAATCACCTCCCAATTTTCCATGTGCCTTAACAGAGCCTTCAGGAGGATCTGCTCCATGATCTTGCTGGGCACAGAGCTGAGACTGACTGGCCTGTAGCTGCCCAGGTCTCTCTTTTTTCCCTTTCTGAAAATGGGGGTTATGTTTCCCCTCTTCCAGGCAGTGGGAACTTCACCAGACTGCCATGACTTTTCAAATATGGAAAGCAGCTTAGCAACTTCATCTGCCAGTTCCCTCAGGACCTACAGATGGATCCTGTCAGATCCCATGGACTTGTACATCCTCAGGTCTCTTAGGTGGTCTTGAACTTGATCTTCACTTACAGTGGGTGGGTAAGATCTTCCTTCTCCCAGTTTCTGCTTTGGCCTTCTGCAACTTGGGCAGTGTGGCTAGAAAAAGCAGTGTTAGTACACTTGTGAATGTTATAAATTTTACAAGGGACAATGGAGGAACAATGCAGTAGAGGTCTGTACAGTAAGGAGTGGCAAGGCAGACACATTTTTTACGCTCCATTTCAATACTAGTAGGCATCAAGTCAAAGTAGTGGAAGGGAATCAGGTTCAAAATCCAACACATGGAGGTTGGCCTGTGCTCAATGTGATGTTGAACAATACAGCTCTTTGCAGAGGACACTGTAAATGCTGAAGGTTTGCAGAAGGTCCAAGGACAAGCTCATGGAAGAGAAATCCATTGCAGGTTATTGAAGGCACAGAAACCACTTTCAGGTGAGGAAGCCTCTGAACTGCCAGTTAGAGGTGACTGGGAGAACATTCTGCCAAAGTTAACACCTGCTTCCCTTGTTCCCATAGCCCTCCCTAGGCACTGGCTTTTGGACTCTTATCTCTTGCCAAAGGCATTCATGAACACCTTCCACTGATTCAAGTCACACTATGGAGTATCCTGTGCTGGGGAAACTCTGATGGTCATCATGGCCAAAGTAACGAATCTCAGTTTTGTAAAACCAGCTTCCAGAGGCAGGAGACAGAATAACGTGCAAATAAGATCTTTAGCTCAAATCAACACACATGCTTTCAACATCTGCATGAATGTCTTATCTAAAGCTCAAACCATAATTACTGCTATAACAGTAAGCTGCTCTACAAGATGTTTTGCCAAATAAAATACGAAGACAAAAAGAATGCTGGCATTTTGAAGATGAGGCACAATGAGAGTCTTCAAGATTTTCAGCAGTGTCTCTAGGACCCAAGGCTATTACTGAACTTCTGCCAAAGGAACTGACATGACAAGCTTACAGGACCAAATTTCAGCTTTGTCTCCCTTCCCACGTAATGTCTTGGCAGCTGAGGTTACCCTCCAGTAAACTAGAAGTTTTTTTTTGTATTTCAGGTTCTTGGGAGCACCCAGGAAAGATGTGATCAACAAGCCAGCTGCAACTGCATTACCTGCTAGCTACCTTGTATCAGAAAGGACAAGTGTTGGAAATGAAGTGACAGAATATGCAAAGCAAGATATGGAAAAAAGGTGTTTTTTTTAACCAACCTGCTTTACCAGTTTGGACACTAGGTGTGGGAAGGGGGAAAGAATGAAGGAAAAGGAGCTGAAGCAGGGACAAAAGGCTCGGTGTTTATATCATCTAGACTTAGTCACATATCCCAATAGTATCAAGTGAAGAATAACGTCTTTTAGAGAGTGATTCTGAGAAGTAATTTCAAGTACTACTTCTAAACTGTCTGGGGGAAAGGCTAATCCTGACTCCAACAGATGCAGAGCAAGCCCCATGGGAGACTGTTTTCTCACTTGGCTACCTAAATTTATGGAGTGTGAATATTGCTCTCACTCAAGTCATCCAATGGGACAAGAAAGTAAGGATATGAATTCCAGGGTCAAATTTTGTAAAGCATACATGCTACAGATGAGGAAAGCAAGTGGGTTTTTTTAAATAGGAAGAAATACATTTCCATCTTTACAACCTTTCAGTAGATGGTAAGAGCTATAATTTTAGTTAAAAAATATTAGTAAGATTACTAGTCCCAGTAAAAATTCTGGAATGAACCTTTCCATAACAAGGAGTTCTTGCCTTTCCAGAGCAGTACGTGTAGGATATTCACCAAAATGAATTCTCAACATGAATATTACTACAAAAACAACAGTAAACAAGCAAGATGAAGCCGGCTTGTCAGCTCCTCCTGTACTTCTGCTTTATACAAATAAGCCTTAAAGAACCAACAATAACACACAAAATTAAGACAAAATCCATCCAGCCCAGTCTTGATTTTCCTTTGTCCTGACATACCAAGATCGACATGTAGCCTTTAGTAGTTGCTTTCAGCCCACTCTTTCTTCTCAAAAACATGACAAAGCAGCAAACTTAGAAGACACAGCCTACACACTCCAAGGCTGGTCTTTCAGTGTACTGTAACAGTTTTTCAAGTTCTGCAGGCACATTTAAATAATCTGAGTTTAGTCACAGTCTAATGTAGACAGTTTTCTAAATACCATCACTTGTTCTCCCATACTTACGAACAGTTTACTCTTGTAAATGTACTTGCTCCTCCCACTGGAGTCCTTTACTTCTTTACTGAAAACCAAGGACATCTCAAAGAGGAAAAGGTGCCTCTCTCTCCCCTTTCGAATTAGTGTTTTTGGGTCCCACACTTGGAAGGATTCTTGAAGGATGAGCTCTCCCTGAGATTCTATATTTTCATCAAAGCCTAAAAAAAACAGGGAAAGGCTCACCATGGCAAGTTGATAATACGAGGAAATTAAAAAATACAGCTTCTGCTTATTAAACAATATTATTTTTTTCTTCCCAAATGCAACCTGCCAAAGACAGGATTCCACAGAAGCAATACTAAATCAACTTCATTTCAACATTGCAGTATACAAAATGTAACTGTAGCTTAAAACTATGTCTAAATTTAGAGATCCGACTGTTAAGACATTTATCAACTCTTCCAGCAGTATTTCACCAAAAAGTGACAAATCTGTCTGGGTCAGCTTCTGGTAACCTCTTCTGTGACAAAAATCATTTCTCTTATAAGCTGTAGAAAGCGAGCAGCTTGCAAGGACGCAGAGAGCATGTTAGGTTTTTCTGACATTGGCAAGCTCCCAAATGGCACCTTTGCTGGTGACCCACCTTCCCCACTGTATATGCAACATATTCCAATAGAGATGGCAGCTTGAGCTGCTGCCACGTGACCAGCCTGCCAGCGTGCCACGCCAGCCTTGGTCCGTAACAGCGAAATAGCAGCTGGATTACTTGAGACATAATGTAAAGATGAAGATCGAGAATATCAACAATTTTACTTCCATTGTAGTGGTACAGTGTTCTCACTGTTTAATACAGAGCTTTAGAGTTGCAGGATAACAGAAACTAGTCTTCTATACTCTTCTGAGTGGTATTAACTGCATTTTAAATAGAAACTGCTTGCCAATATTCTCTGAACAAAAGAGCACCATCCTTCTCAAGAAAACAACAGTTCTCACTCTTCTCAACAGGACAACAGTGTGGAGAGCATGAGAGCCAAGCTGCATTAGAATGTTCATTCAAAATACTCCAGAGACAGAGAGAGGAAATGCGCTCACTCACTAGATTTGTCCAACATACGATGACTCAACAAGACATGCATGATTTGTTACGAAACCCACTTATGTAAAAGATTAGGATATTCTCCAGAGTTGCATTCCCAGTGTTAATCCTATGATAAATCAGCATTTATCCTAACACCATCTCGTGAACAAGGCATTTGGAACCAATCCTCCAAACTGACCAACACTGCTGCTGTTCAAAATCAGGGAAGCGAGGTGATTTTTAGCATTCACATGATCAAGGATCAGAGGTCAAATCAAGATGAGTTTTACAGTAACATGCATGATACTGGAAATTTCATGACAAGCTCCATTTTGCTACTGCAAGGGAGAGAGGAAGAAAAGGAACACTGACTAAAAGCACCTATGTCTTTATTCAGCAGCTGCAAGGTAAGGTGGCTCTGCTTTCATCTCAAAAAAATTAAATGCCAAAGAAAAACATTTTTATTATGAAGTGTATGATGGGGCCATTATACATGATAACATGCCAATTACAAAACAGATTTTGACAGAAAGTTATTCTAAGCACATAGACACAATTACATCCAACCTCCACTGTCTGCTGTCCTGTCTAAGTCCCAGGCTAAACTGGCTTATGCTGACATTTTATTGCCAGAAGATACATTTAATTTCAACTAGGATTCTGTTATGGAACAGGCAACAAATGGATATGGAAACGACAATCTTCTTGAAGGCAATTATTTGATACCTAAATCAGCAAAATCACCTCTAATACACGTAGGCACCTCATGTAAAGTAGCCATGGATATTGGTTGGAAAATGTATCTGACCATTGACCTATTATGTTTCAGGTGAGTGGTGGAAAACTTTGTTAGCCTACATATTTTTCAAATCTGCAGTGGCAGAGCTATAGATCAGGATCAAAGAAAGTTTTAAAAAATTAGCAAAACTGTTGTTGACTGTCACAATTAATTTTCCTCAATAAGTTCACATTTTATATAGCTCCAAATAAAAGGTATGTAAAATATAAACTCAGAGATAAGAAATAGTTCATATTCTCAGGTCTTTTCAACATGTAGTAATACAGGAAGTTACTAAACAAAGTTAATCTCCAGTGTATGACTGAGCTGGAAAGCCAGTTTGAGTCCTACCTTCCAGCATGCTGAGGTGCATGGCATCATTGGCTCGCTTTGGCACACTAAGCATCACCTCTAGACCATCCTTAATCTCACCTTTACCTTCCTCACAGCACGTGAGCAGCTCCTGCAAAAGACAAGCAGACAGTACTTCTAACAATCAAAGAATCATTTTTTGCATGTAAAACCTTTTTGAACTTATTACTCTGCCAATGACATGATAACATACTTTGTATCTATCATGATCTGATCTTTAGGGAGCAGCTCAAGCTTTCAGTTAACTACCTCTAATTTAAACAAGATCATCTGCTTAACAAGAAATCTTTAAAAGTTACAAGGACATCTTTTCTTATAGTAAGCACAGACACAGCTGTCAGATGCAGAGCTACATCAATGCTCAGAACAACGGAGCTGCCAAGTCATGAAGATGGTGGAAAGCAGGACAGCACAAAAGGACACACCACATCCCCCATGTCAGTCGTTGCTCCACTGCACCAAAGACCTGCTCTGTACTACTGCTGATAAGAGGATTTACATTGTTTCATTTTAAACATTCCATTAATTACTCTATTCTGCATTCAAACAGTTAAGAGCATCCTACAGACAAAACTTTTGAATACAAACAAGCATTAACTGATGGGCAGAACTCAGAGAATGGAATATGCTGAAGCAATGCAGCAGGATTTAGGGCAATGCAATTCCCTGCCCATTCAACATCCCAGAGATATTAACATAACAACGCCTGAGCTGATATTCAAATTTCCTCACATCCTTTGAGCATTTGAACAGTATCAAGATAAAAAGTAGCTTATGTAACCAAAAGGGCATATTATGTTCCTTCTATTATTCAAAAGGCTGACTTAATTCATTCCCTAAGGTTAAATTCCCTTTTCCTTTTTAAAGAGAAAGCCAGGTGATTCCTGCTATTCTCACTACATTATTTATATTTAACTGCCAATACCACCTTCACAGCAGAATGCTACATCATCACACTTAAATTCTGCATGACAACTCCACAGAAAAGTGAGTGTAACAAAATATCCTCCAGAGCACCTTCAATACCATTTGGAAAACTAAGCAGAATTCTAGAACTGTAAAATGTTTCAGCTGTCATTCAAGTTTTGGTTTATCTATCCTTCAATATTTTATATCTCTCGTCTTATAGAAAGAAAAAAAAAAAAAAGAAGATGAAAACTCACCAAATAAATCCATTTTATTGTACAGCAAAGTGATCTGGCTCTGTAAACACTGGTGAAACGGACCTACCTCATCACTTCAGTAATGTGCTGGCTAAGGGATATTTAGGTTTTAAAGAAAATAATTTTTGGAATCAGTACCCTGAAATTTCTGTAACAGCACAGCCTAGAGTATTTCTCTACGTTATAACTTAATCAAATTGCACATTTTTGCAAGGGAAGAACAGACGATGTGTTTCACTTAAAAATAACAGACTTGTTTCCGTCTGATTTGACTTGAAAAAGCCTGCAGCTTTTTTCAGAAATTTTAAAAACAATCATCCGTTTCACTAAGTGAAAGCTCTCACTACAGGCTTCCAGAAGTTTTGTTTATTTCAACAGCTACTATTTACTTGACATTTCCAGGCAACATTACAAGTAACAGCTGTTTGTGCAACAGCTGTACAGGTACTCAGTCTGTGCGTGCATATATATACAAATATGTATCTTTTATATTATAGTTTTATATATACAGATTTATATATTTTGCAGTACTTAATACCATAAACATAGCTAAAGGCTTAGCAAAATTTCTTGCAGAAACCATAATGAAAAATGTGCCAGTCTATATGGCCATTAATTACTTTTTTCTCTGGAAATGCAAATTATGTTTTCCAACTGAACATTAGTAGAGAGGTAGCCTCTTTGATTTACAGCAATCTGGATAAAAAGTTGCTTATTTATGCCTTCTTTAATTTTCAGTGCTGTCCTAAAAAAAAATATCACAGCAATATTAGAGGTTGCCCAGGATACTGTAGTCTCAAGAGTGTAGAGTAAAACAGCCCTCTGGATTTCAGCAAGAGTTTCACCCTCCTAAGGACAGCAGAATCAGAGAAGAAATTTGAGTTAGTACTGACCTTTAAAAGAAGCTGGTATTTTGTTATCCTTTGGACAGGTTTGATAAGGTAAGATGAGATAGAGTTGGCCAGTCCATGTCGTTGTTGTATCTCCTACATGGGAAAAGGAAACATTTGAGGACTGTGGGCACCAGCACTCAGATATAGGCTGCTTTGAGGGCTATGCAATAATATGCATTAACTAGAAATTCTATTTTAGAAAGAAGAAATAAAAAAACAGACAGGATGAGAAGATATTCAAGCCACAGTAAACATGTTGTACATCTGCCTGGTCACTTTCCACCAACAGAAGATTATTACCTCCAAGGATACCTGGTGAAGGATTTCAACAAACCCAAATACAAATAGCAACGATTAGGGATATCAAACATGTGGCAACGCCTTTAAAAAAAAGAAGTATTGAAATCTCCATTTCTTTTGTTACTAGCAAGAGAGAAAACGAATTTCAGGACTATGACAGGAAAGTTGAGGTGGAGGTCTCTTAGCATCAGCTGCTGCTTGTTTAACGGCCTGTAGTCACAGACAGCGCTTCCCCCACGAGGGGGAGCAAGGAGTAACATTTTCTCACTAAAGGGAAGAGATTACCAAACACTTAAAAAGAAAACAGCCACAACAAAAAAGGAATGACCTCTGCAAAGCTAAACGAGAAAAACAGAATTAGATGATAATTAGATGAGATAATTACAGATTTCAAGTACTGATCATGGCTGAGCTTCACAGTGTTTGCCATTTATCAGTATCAGGTGATTTCAAACAGCAAGTTATGCACTGAAGCTACATGCTTTCTAACCACAATTACAGAATCAGAAATTTGCAAGAAGATACATGTGACATTTTCACATGGTCCAGTGGTGGTATCAATGGAAGCTCTTGAAGTCACCTGTGCACAGAATTAGGTCTTCACACTTCTAATCCACTTTAAGTGGATTAGGAGATGGAGAGCTCTTGGATAGACAGAGTGTAACTTACCTGCTCTTCTTCAAACACTGAAAACTTAACAGAAGCTTCACAGAAAGGCTTTACCTTACAAGGTTTAGCATTCACATCTCCTCAGTGATATTTTGAAATCCATCCCAGGAAGGATGGACTTTTTTTTTCTGGTTGGTTTTTATTATGTCCTTCCCTCTACTTCTACAAACAATTCTAAAAAAGTTTGTGGTGTCACTACACAGCTAGTATCTCAGCACAGTACAGAAGGAAACAAAGAGGCATAGAGAGTGCTCTAATCAGATCATCTCTAAACACACGTTCAATCTTGGCCAAAATTCCCCCCTAAACCTTCTAACTGCTGCTATATTTTGGTCCTTTCTTGAGTGAAGTCCTACACATAGACCATGCAACCCTGGGACTGAATAAGCAAGGTGTTTCTTTTAGCAGCTTTGAACAATGGCAGTCAACTGAATTCCCAGTACATACAATTATAATTTAAAAGTGCTCAAAAAATTAACAAAGATTTCCGTCTTTACTGCATACGATGCAAACTAGGCACATCAAAATGCTAAGATTTGCAGAATGTGACTGTAAGAGCTGAAGATTCGCAGCTCAGTTGCTGCTGCCAGAACCTGCCTCCAGTTCTGAACCACTCTGACACGTGACAGTGACTTCTCACATTTGATTGTATTTAACCATGTGAGACATAGGGTTGATTTTCTTAAGCTAATATTAAATTGCACCATTAGTACAAGGAAACTTGAAATTTCTTAAGAAATTAGGCACTTGGCATAACTGCAATACATGATTCAAGCTGCTAAGGCATACTTTTAAGAGGCACATAAAGTACTTACATCAAAGTACGCTCCTGCATGTTCTAGTATCAGCTGGGTAGAATCTGGCTTATTTTTACAGTAAGTAACATACATTTGGAATTTGTCTGCCTGCAGAACAAAATGTAAATTTACATAGTTTAGCAGAGAGCATAATTTCTCTAAGTTTTTTACACAGTTATCAGAGAGCATTATCTTCTCTCTCAAGAAACTGAACTACAAAGAATTATTTTCCCATGCAAACTGACAGCATAAGAAAATGTATCAGACAAATAAGACTGAAAACAATAGCAATGTATGCAGAAGCAAATTATTCACAGTTAAGACAAAGATACCAAACCTGAATGCAGGCTTAGGCAACTTGCATAAACTCCAGGAGCACCTACGCACTGCCATCCCACAGCAGTGCCTTAATTTCTGCCCCCCCCAGTTACAGATACACACATTTTTACTCAAATTCCAAGAAAGAGGTACTTCTACAAATTAAAAAGGGAACTGAAAGCAAGAATTCATCCCTTCACGCTTCCTATCTTCCCCTTGTTACTTCTAAATATAAGTGTGACTTCATTACCCAGGTAACGAAACAATGTCCAACATCTTCTGGTAACTGTTCATATTTTTCCAGCTCCTTGAGGAATATACTATGGGCAAAAAAGAAACAAATAGTACAAAGTACATGAAACATTTTAATTAGAGCAACTGATATTGATCGATTTTCTGTGAATAAAGGCGGATAGAAAATCTACTGTAATTCATACCAACAGCACGAGTTAAAGGTAATAGGAATGGATAGAAATATATAATAACAGAACTAATCCAGAATGTACTTTCATACAAATTCTGATGTGAAGCTCAGAAATTTATCCAGCAGGCATGCAATTAACAAATAAGAATACAAAAAAATTAACTGCTGTTGTTCTTCATCAACGTTTCCTGCTGTTTCAGTTTCAAGAAAAGTTTAGCCTTTATCTCAAGAGAAGAAGGAGATGATTTGGTTTTTGGATGCTCAGGTTAACACAAAGCATATGAAGGGTTGTAAAATCAGGTTCTGATATATGCTAGGTATATTTTATTACTTTAAAGAACCATAGCCCAATACAGACACCAATGAAGTAACAAAGAGGGAAGATTCAGAGCAATACTTCTCTACAGGGATCTGCCTAGGAACCGTTCCACTCAGAAGAAAGGTAGTGGACAAGCCTCTTTCATGCTCCATACTCAAGTAAATGTAACAATGGTGAGGCATCTCCACAGAAGCTTCGAAAAGCCAAGAGCAGGGAGACTTACTATTTCCCAGCAGCAGTCATATGTGGAAAAAAGAAATGAAAGTTCAGAAGGAATCAGAGTCTTAAATTGGTGTTTGTGCTGTATTCTATTGAGTTCAGTAGTTTCCGTCTCTTTAGAACAACTGGAAAAACTACAGCAAAATTTGAATGTGTTCAAGTAGTTTGTTAAAAGCTGAAATATGTCCGAGATTGAAAAAGACAATTTCTAATGGTGTACCTACTGGGCTGCAAAAAGCAACAACTGAAACAACTGAGTAATGTGAGAAGAAATCCTTTAGATTTTTTTATGGAAAATCATCCATTATTCCTAAGCGCAATATTTTCATCAGGAAATCCCTCAGGTCATCATCTGGATTTAGCAGTAATATGGAAATGGAAGATAAGTCACTCACTTATTGTGAAACTCATAGATTTCCTGCATGTTTCCAAAGATAATGTGTTCTTTGTTTACAATACCAGGTGGGATCTCCTCGACTCCGCTTGTCATTTCCCATAGATATGTCTGCCCAGAACAAAAAAGATGCATGAAAAGTCATGATAAACCCTCAACAGGAGCACTCAGGTATTTCTGAATGTGCATTCCTGGAGAGAAATTGGGGAAAGATCACACAGCATCATCATCTCCAATTGTGACAGTATCTGTTGTGTCCAGTATAACTTGTGATTTTGACAGCAAAATACAAGTTCTAAAACTGACAATTTAACATAGTCCCTGTGACTTCATCATTTAAAATGCATAGTGTTCTTGACAACCTCTAATGCTTCAGGATATTCCTTATCAAGGTCATGTCTGCAGTCTAGAAGTTCATGCTTTGTGCAACAGCTAACACTGAACATTACTTGCTTCAGCATAACAATTACTGGGCACTTTTCCATGGAATCTCTCTGAATTTCTATTCCAAAAGCCAGCTAGTAGCAGAACATGTGATACAGATAATAAGAGAATTAACACAGGCTCTTCTCTATTGCTAGCAAAGCAAATAAAGTAAGCCCCTCCCTTTTCCCTCCCCTCTCTAAAACAAAACCCCCACACATTTATGAACTGGGAAAGGAGCAAATGCTAAAACTCCATACTGACAAAACCAAAACATATAGGATGAATTACAAAGCATCTGTTATCAAATGCAATTCTAAGTTTCTTCTTAATAGCAGAAAGGCTACTTAGTTTGGTTTTATGACTGCAAACTAATCATGCTTGGCTGTTAAAACCAGAAAGCAACAAAAAGCCACAGATTCAATCCTGTCTTCAAAAATCAGGGAAAAAAAGAAAACTTACATCCATGCATTCCCGGAGGTCTCTTACGTAAGCCTTTTCTGTCTGAATTAGCTCAGCCATAATGAACCTTAGGTGACAACAGAAAGAATAATCAAATCTCAGTCTGTTGGATCATTATGAATGCATAATAACTCAGAATACATCTTTCTCTCAATCAGCTTTTGCTTTTCCCACTGCTGCAAGAAAAATCTGAGGACTGAAATATGAAGAGAAACAACAGATGAAGGAAGCATGAAAGGTAACATTACTAACCAGCACATAAAAGTAATGGGGAAGGAAATGGATTATTTTTTTTCTCAAATGCTTTTCACTTGCTACAGTCATTTAACTGTTGTTCTCCCTCCTGCCCTTACATATTTATTTCACCTTATTGCTAAAAAGGAGATTAGGACATACAAAGAAGTTTAACATAGTTTTGAAAGTTTAAGATTCTATCATGCTAGAACTATGTGTGAGAATAAGCACGTGAATAAAAGGCCATATGAGCTCTCTTTGTACCATTTGTCAAATGCCTAAGCTGCCAGACATGCCATGACAGTTGTTTCATTATCAGGATTGATTTATGCATTCTCATTGATTAAAAATAAATAAATTTATTACTCTTTCCTGCGGGCAGACTTTCGTTTTTCTTCATTAAGCTCATGAGCAGCATCGCGCAGTTTCACCTCTGACCCAGGGACACTGGCTGGGATTATATCCAGCTGCAAGCTTTTGCTCTTTATTAAAGAAAGGAAGAATTGATTAAGGAAGGAGACAGGAGAAAACAATAGCTAAATCAAACGCAAGCAAAGCTTCTTTGCCTGTCACCACACCCAAATTTCTCTTACCGATTTATTGGAATCGGAGGAAATACCCAGAGCTTTCTCTAAAGAGGTCCTGTATTTCTCCATGCGCAGGGAAAAGTCTCTGTACCTCTTATCCACTGCTGTGACACATTTTTTAATCTCTGTTGCATGAGCATGCCCTTTTTCACAAAAGCCATCAGCCAGCTGTATCAACAGCTTCACCCTCTCTTTGGTTTGCTATGAAAACAGGAAAATATCGAACAGTTACTAGCTCTACCTATCAGGAAGGGGGTCATTTTGCTTAACCTGCCACCAAGTGCAGCTGGAGAAACTTATCAAAGGAGCCAGCTTCCTCCTCTCTCTTCCCAGAACTCCTTCATCCAGACACCCTTTTCTTAATAAAAATAGCAGAAGATGAATATTGGTTTCCTTGGATTTTATTATTGCCTTACTAGAAGCAGGTTGTTTATTTTTCTTTCAAAAATGTGCTCCATATCTAACACAGAGATTAAATTCTGCTAGGGAAGGTTTTCAGAGCACGGGAATTCTCCTCACATCAATACCAAGGGGTATGAATGCCAGAGAGGGTATTTTGTTCATTATCACTGAAGCGCTGGTAATGGACTGGGCCCATAGCCTCAAGAATCCACCTTCTTTAGACATCACTGAAGTGCTGAGATGGAGGTAAGTCTTGTTATATGCTTTACACTTTAATGGATTAAGACTATATTATTTAAATCTTTTGTATATTATGTTTTACTGTCACCGTTGGAGATAAACTGAGAACAAGCAGCCACCACATCTGTAACCAAGTGCTTTTCCCAACTGACGCGATGCCTAAGACTACACGCTTCCTTTTATATATAACATAAACAGCCCACAATGGATGAGTTTGTACCTCCACCTCTCTCTCCCTCTGACACCATGGCAGAGTAAAGTCTCCTGTCAGGGCCCTTGGTAACAGGGAGTTAAGCAACATGTCAATAAAACCTTGATTCTTTTGTGTCAGCTGGAAAATTAACAGTGTTTGTCCTTTCCCCCCCAGCCCCAGCCCTTAATTCTTTTTTATTTCCTAATGGTCTCTCCTCTGAGCATTTCTTTTCACTGTGGAATAAGCAAAAGCTAATACAACTTCCCAATCAGCAGCAAAATGCCAAGGGAGTGGCATCAACAACATCCTTTCAAAAGAGGCACCCGCGTCATCTGCTGACTGACAGAGGAAACAAGGGGGGCAGTGGTGCTCTGCACGCTGGAAAGCATCCAGCAGAACAAAGGCTGAAGCAAAACTCAGAAGGAAGAAAATCCAGGTCTGAAAAGCAGGAGTGATCTCTGTTCTTTCTGGATTCTCTTTTCTCCCTTCCAGTAGGTCTCATCTCCAAGACTCCTCTCACCTGAGGTGGTCCTTCAGACAAATGAACATTTGCTTTATTATTTCTCTAAGAAGACTAGAGAGCTGAGAGGTGGAAAGAGGTGACAAAATACAACACAAAACCAGATAAGGCTACATAAGCTCAGGTACTTCAGTCACAGGCTAGTTGTCTATCTTTCATATTTGAAATTGGGTAAGCCTCACAAGTGACATCTACATCTCTGTATAGACCTCCAAAGATGTACAACACCACAATGCTGCCATGGCTCACAGCAGAATCGCAGAATACTTCTAATAAAATGAATAACCTAACAGTTAAAGCTTTAATTTTTCTACTATCTTCTAATTAAATCACAACTGAATAAGAATATGCCTTGTTGTATTTTATACTCTAAATGAACATGTATTAATCCACAGACATGAGGATAAAAAAGCACAAATCAAATGCCCTGAAAAGTTTGTAGGTTTTTAGAAAAATGTTTTTAAGCTATCTCACTATGATTTTATCTCAAGAAATCAACAGCACATAGGGCTTATGGAACTCCAGTAATACTGATTATCTTCCTATTATCTTTTGGTTTACTCTGTTCCCAGCAGAAATACAAAGGGAAAGCCACTGCAAGTAAACAAATCTTGATGAACACATCCTTAGATATTCTTTTGGGAGGAGGTGGGAATTTGGTAGTTTTTTTTTTCTGGTAGCTTTTTTTGTGTGTGTGTGTGTTTTTATTTATTTATTTTACCTTTGCTGTGATCTGAAATTCTTCATGTTCTTTTAACAACTCTTGTGTGTGCTGGATACTGGAGCCAGTGGAAGTATGTGTAGATAAATAAAACTCTCCATTGTCATGGATCCATTCAAGAGCCTAAATGAAGCAATAACAAGGTAAGAGAGAAAGCAAAACACTTTTGCCAGTAGAAACCATCTGCAATTAGTATTTCACAAACACAGGTTAGCCACAGATAAATTTTACTCTATGTCACTTGTGGCAATCATCTAATACCTCTACAATATCAGTTGGTAACTCTGAAACAATTCACTTATTCCATGAAACAATGCTTAAAGAATTAAACAACTGACACACAAATCTGAGTACTTCAGCAAAGTCCACTGCCACAGGACTATAGTAAGGTTCCAATTGACTATATCTATAGTTTCATAAGTCTACTTCTCAGCTGTGCAAATACCACTTTTTAGGTGCAACACAGGACAACTGTACTCAGAGAGAGGCATATTCCAGCTTTTAAAGATATTACGTAAGACTGCCAAATGTGTAGGCTAAACTTGCCAAGCACGTGAGATTTAACTGTCATTTCACTCTTTAGCTGATGTATTCTAGCCTCACAAAGTAGGGTCTGTAGTTATACGTACTCCAAGAGATTAAATGTGCAGCAGGGGAGGAGTATGGAGATATATCAGTTAAACCAATTAATGTACATATAGGTAGCAAAAGACAAGAACTAAGAACTGCAAACTAAAATTGCTTCCTGTCCACATCCTGGCACCTTACTCTGTCACTATGATAAACCATGCTGATCCAAGTTATTATCTATGTTCTACCCACATTAATATTCGCTGCCCTTTTAAGCACAACTCGGTGGTTGCGAGGAACCCTCCTCTCTGGCGACTACAAAACAAAGAGTCCTCTCAAACTGCTGCAGAACAGTAAAAATAAAAAGATTTCACTGAAGACTGTCATTATCAAGTTGTTTTGCAGCTCTAAAATACAGGCTCCTACAGCAATATGCAGAGGCACATGAACCTAGACACTTCTTGGTTCTGACAAAGCAAATAACAGATATTCAAAGAGTTTAATACAGCTTGCTTAGAACTGTCGTATTACTCTATACGTTTACCTTCTGTCTCTTCAGTACATGCGTACAGCACTAAACAAAAAAATTAATCTTCCAAGAGAAAAAGTTGTAGATTGCTTTTGGGTCCTCATTCTTTCGTCTCTCATACTTTCAGTTTACGCTTTTATCTACGCCCATTACGAAGAACAGGAACACTTTTATCTTGGCGGACGGCAGGTACGTATTTTTCAAGACCATAACTTGCCACTGAACCAGAAAAGGCACCGTCTGTACTATAGTTCCACCAACTGAAACTCACCAAGGTTGCGACTGAACAACTCTGATTCTCTTCCTTCCACTTAAGATGCTTTTGCCTCTTGGTACAAACCCCAGTGTGAATAGAAAGCCTTCAAAATTCAACACTGAGTATGAATGCTAGAATGTCATTTACCTAGTCACATTGTAGTGCAGATGCAAGCCCGATGAGATGGGCCTGTACTTTTCAAGCATCGCTGATGGAAACAAACCACCAACTCTTGGGCTGCTGCCAAGAAGAGGGACACGTAACCGACCACCTGTACGATACACCTTGCTGTTTGAATGTCAGTCTTTGCAAGAGAAGACCACCATGGACAAGCAGCACGGCTGTTGCTGATATTACGAACAACATTTATTTTGGCACTACTTGTCTTCAATGTTTTAGCCTCTACCTTTTTTTGGTGGGTTTATTATGCAATGCTGGAATGAACGATAAACAAAAAAACTTCCCCATGTGCAATGCTGCCCTTTTATAACTTTTTGGCAGATCTCTAGAGCCACAATATGACACAAAGTTTACCTCTTGTGTTAATTCCCACAGTTTAGAATAGCTCTCATTTCATTTAAGAATCAGGATTTTATGTTGGAGGCACATATCACTGTATGAGAACTGCAAACTACTATGGTATCTGCTCCCACTGCAGGGCATCAAGTTCTGAAAGCTCAAAGAATGGGTTCTTCCAAATTAAAAAAAAAAAAAAAAAAATTAGACAAAGACAGCAAAATTTCTATTTTTTGGCTAATCAGTATGGAGTCCATATAGGTATGGTTTGCTTTTCAGTGACTGAACTGGTGACTGCTGAAAAATGGGATGCACAATGAAAATGCTGACAGATCTTTATCTCCAGTATTTGACTGTCAGTAAACTCTATACAAAAGCAAGCAGGTCATGTGCTTGGCAAAAATTGGATTTAAGGTTATTCAAAAGTAGGGTGGAGGGCAGGGAAATGGGGGTGTTGTTGTTGTTTTAAAGAGGTATTAATCTTTAACTTCACTCCAAGATTTATCTTGCATTACTTTCTTCCTGCAAGCATGAAAAACAGACTTTAGAAATCTTTCAAGACATCAAACCAGACCACTAGCATTTTAACCTCCTGTCTACACTGGCTGTCAGAAAGAAATAAAAAATTAGGTTTACTGAGTCCTATTTTGCACTACAGACATTGAGTTCCTTTCTGCAGAACAGGAACTTTGTCACATATCCAGTTTAAAAGAAGAAAAATTAAAAAAAATATTGCAGATCATTCCAGTTACCAATTTTGTCTGAGGAGCCCCTACTTACTTCTATAGCTTATGTTTTGATTAGTGCAGGGGATTTTTTTTTTGGTGCATGGTAGTTACTAAATAGCACTTTCCAGACTGATGTATTCAAAATACAAAGAGATAGATCTACCATGCTAGAAAACACAAAGCCAAGTACATGCAGAACTGCAAAACTCAAGTCATTCAGTTATTATGGTTCAATGAGTCATCCAACTTGTCAGTTTTCTAGAACTGCCAATCAACTTAATTAGGTGGATTTTTTCCCCTCAACATCCGAAAAAATGTTGCTGCTTATTATCTCTCTGGTCAAATTAGGTGTGTGTGTAAAAGTTAACAAGCATGACAATTGGTCAAATACAAACTTGCAGGAATGAGATTTTCCGGTACCAGATCAAGCTGGCAGAAGCAAAACACCACCTTTAAGTTGCAGCAGTAAAGACACCCCATCTCAATGGAAAAAGAAAAGCAAATAATTTCACTTACTTTATATTCTAATCATTGATCTTTCAGCCATTTCAAATAATTAAGTCAACAGCAAATTTGTTACTGTATGTAAAATCTCTATCACATGGCAAAGGGTTTTTCTATGAAATCCTCACCTGTTTGGCACTTCTTTCAAACACCACGTACTGTTGGCATTGATCGAGTCGTCTTTTACGCATAGTCCAATAATGCAGCACACGGTTCTCCCTCTGGAAGAGTTCATTCAAGATATCTGAAGAAATAAACATAGTTTCAACAGAGGTTATGACAGCCAATTCTGAAATATCACATTAAAATCAGCAGAATAAAGTACTTTATATTGTAGAACTTACAATATACTTATAATGTTATTTATTTTGTTCTTTGTCCTGACATTCATGAAACAAAGAGTGTACCCTTTTCATTATTACTTTCAGAAATGTTGGTTAAAGAAACTAGATATGCTATTAAAATTTGCTACTGATACCTTTCTTCTCTCAAATATTTTTCATATGGGGACTGTCAGTGCTTATAACCAGTGAAAATGTAGGCTGAAAAAGGTGGTTCTTTCCTCAGAAAGAATGAGCATGCACAAATAATCACAACATACTGAACACTTCATATTAATGATAATAAGAACACCCCAAATTTTCTGAACAAGTCTCCTGTAAATATTTTAATAATTTAATACATACAGACAAAAAAATAACCTTGTCACTACAAGAATAAATGCAACATAAGCAGATATTAAATGTATAGCAACACAAGTAGTAAAAATACACTATTACCAAGTTCGTAATTCCTCTGGAAAAAAAAAAAAAATCAAATCCAAGACTTGTTCAAATATGTGTGTTCATCGGGCCTTGACAGAATTTCCAGGCAATCAAGTAATTAACTCCACAATACAGTATTCCATTCTGGGATACCAGAAACTGGCTGCCATTGAGAAGTCATACCCAAATTCCACCATTAATCTCCAATTCCATGTCTGGCTTACAAATTCTTCCTGGATAGCAAGGACCTTCTGCTTGCAGTATGCAGAAGATTTTATCTGAACTCTGCTTCTTTAACGCATATTGTTTTTTCCTTCACACAAGAAGTTGCAGCAGTTTCTTGTGAAGCGCACTTCACCCACTGCCTCTTCCAGGGCAGCAGCCCTACCAGGCTCTGTAGCCACTGCCAACCCAGAGAGCAAGCTGAAGTACACAGAAACGGGGACACTCAGTATCTCGGCCAGGTGGCTCTGTCAGAAATGCACAGAACCCAAGGGGATCACAAAACAAAAGGTTCATTCTTCACAATAACACTTTAGTTACTTTTCTACTGATACCCCAGCTGGCACCTTCCCATAACTATGAAGGGAGGCTGTTAGGTGCTAGGCCTCATAAGGCCTCTGCGTTCCCCTGCCCCACTGTTCAGCTTCACCATGCCTCACGCCCCAAAAGCTAACAACTCTGAGAGACAGTTTGACACAGAAGCTCAAATAAAAAGGAGCCTGAGGACAAAAGCGTCTTTATCAGTGATTTGGGACCAATTACAACCACTTGTCATAGCCTCGTTAGGGATTATGAAACCTGACTGCATCACTGCCAACATCCGCCTGCTTGGAAGCACCATATTCCCACTTGCCACAGAGCGATGAGATCACCCAGGACTTGCTTTTGCTTGGAATCTGGTCATGGTGGTCAAGGTTTTCTTCCTGCTGGGCAGGCTCCCTTCAGATATGCCTCAACTAATCTGTCCCTTAACCAAGCCATGAGCTGATCTGCTATGAGCCTCACCTGCTTCCTCAGTTTTATTTCTGCTGTACACCAGCTCTAAAATGCTTGCTCAGAATATACACCAGATTTCGGAGGGTCTTGAGGGAAGTGGAGGGGTGGGACACAGTTATTATGTAATGCAATACACCCAACTGGACACACCATATAAAGAGACATCTTGACAGTGATGCAAGCAAAGTAGTTCTGACAAAGAGCAAGCAAGGTGAATTTAGCTAATTGGAACAACACTCGTTCTGTCAGGACATGATACAGATGGCAAGCCAGTGAGATATTTGGCTGGGAACTCTCAGTGTTAGTGTCATTAATTTCTTGTACTGACAAGGAAGAAAAAAAATAAATCTATAAAATATTCAAAGGAAGTTATAGAATGCCAATATTTAATACTAAGCTTGGATGAGCAGCTCTGTCTCAAGCCTTTTGCACTATAGTTGTAATTTTCTTTATTTCAACATTTGTTAGGATCATTTCCTAAACTTTCACGTTATCCTCCAGGCTCGGAGAGCTTTCAGCTGTCTCTATTCATTCTGCCCTCTGCCAACCTATCTAAAAATACAAGTACTGCTAGACAATTTCCTACGTTATGTTCAGTCGCAGGCCATACATCGGAGACAGAGGTAACAAGCACATGAAACCAGCAGCAGAAGCAAAGATGAAGATGCTCCATTTCTGAGCTTACAGCTTTTGTCACTGACCGAATCCACCTGCCACAGCGTGGTTCAGGCCACAACTCCTTCCTAAAATTCAGCTTTAGCATGGTGTCTAATACTGTATTTCAATACTCGTAACTGCAGGTCAATGAAGTTACTTACACTGGTGTGAAAGGCCAGAAGGACACCTCTGTTCAGTACAGTTGTAATTCCTGTTCCAAATAAAGCACGTCCTTTACTAAACTTTGCCTAGATTACGCCATTGCTCTTCTAGATACCCTAAACTACAGCTGGGAATAAAGGTCAATTATGCCACTGCATCAGGTTTTTGAGAAACATCCATCAGTTCTGCAGAAACTCAAAGGTTACTCTAATTTTTAAACTGTTCATTTATATACTTTATACACATCACAGTCTGACACATCACATGCACCTGAGTATGAGTGTGTAACAGCCAAGCAGAACACATGTAACCTCTATTTCACCAAAATGAAATAAACATTTTTTCTCTCTATTTAGAAAAAGATGAAAAGAGATTTTTTTCCCTTACATGTACATTTCAACAGGAAAACGAGAGTGAACTTTTAAATCATTTGGTCAGCTACCACATCATTGAGATCTAAAAGCAGAGTCCTCACTAGTTTTATCTCAACTCCTATTTAATACTCAGAAGCATATATTACATAGCTTATAGGATAAAAGTGTTAGAACACATAGCTTGTGTTTTTCCTGCTTAGGATTTTTGGTTGCTATTTTGTTGCTATATGTCATTCAACCACCTTTCAGTCAGCTTTTGTTACATGGATCATTCCACCAGGACTTGAAAAGTACACAGAACACGCAAAGCACTACGGTTCTGACATAACTATTCTTATGGTTTAGAGGAGGATTTGGTAGAGTATGGTAGAGTAGGGTTAAAGGTTAGACACAATAAGCTTAAAGGTCTTTTCCAACCAAAGTGATTCCATGATCACAGACACTAGCAGAGACTCTTCCATTCTTTTCTCATCTGCACACATTTACCTTTCTCAGAATGACTGTTTACACATATTTCAAGGCCGAATTTTGAAAAAGACTGTCTAAAACACCTAACACTTCTTTCTTATACTCAATAAGTGTGGTCACTACAACTTGCTGCTCAGTTCTGCTTCGTTTTCTTTGTCTACTACTAAGAGAAGAGCTAAGTGACAAATGTCAGTAACACTTCTCCAGTTATTCACACTGCCAGCATTTGTGTTGAGATTGTGTCTTGTACAGTTCTATAAATATTGATGCCTCGGGGCAGAGGAAAAACAATCATTTTTTTTAGCTCACCATGCTCTAAGTTTCAACTGCCACAATGCAATTATTTCCTTCAGAGTGAAATGTATGGCCAATATCTGCTTATCTTTCTAACACAAAAGTTCCAACATAGGGAGATTTTCAATATGAGTACTGACAAATACATGGGTAAGTTTAACACAAACTGCTTTCCCTTTGTAGCAAAGTGAAGCAATGAACACATCATTTTCTAATAGAGTCATCAAGAAATTTGGAGTGGAAGTGACCTCTGGAAGCTCTTGCATCCAACATCCCCTTCAAAACAGGACTCACTTCAAAGGGGCTTATTCAACTCCATTTTAAAAATTCCCAAGGGCAGAGATTCCACTCCTCTCTGGACTACCTGTTCTACTCAGTGCTTTCTCACTCCTGCTGTTAACACTTTCTCCTTACATCCATTTGGAGTTTTCCTTGCTGCAACTTTTTCCTCTGGTCCTATTGACATGTTCCTCTGAGTTGGGCTCCATCTTCTGCATAAGTCCCCTTCAGGTAGCTGTAAACAGCAATTAATTATGCAATTGGAATTCTCTGGTTTTCAGTCTGTAGCATGGCCTGAGTGTTCAGTCACAGCTTAAAAACACATAGAGTGGAATATGACTGGCAAACATGCTACTAAAATCTAATATTTATTTCTGAATCTCTGATCTCAGTTCTGCCTACCTCACTCATACCTACTGCACACCCTATTCATTTTTGTACTTTTGTCCCTGAAAGCCCTACAGATTTCTGTCTCTATTCCACTTCCCATTTGCACTTTAAGGTGCAAGTTACACCTTAAAGCTGCACTACACTGAATTAATCCTAGCAAAAGCCAAGCCCCATGTAATAGTTCTTTCCTCATCTCAGACTACCTATCTACATATCTAATTTAAACATGATGTCAGTTATCCTATACTTCATGAAGTTCCTTAATACTGATTCAGCTGTATGAAGGGCCCAAGGGCATTGTTCAAGGGATTATCTTGTATCACGCTGGCACTCCCAAGGAACTCGCAGAATGCACCACACTAACACACTGAGTAAGCCTGCAGTCATCAGCTCTCATTTGGCTTCAGACCAAATATTATCATATAGAAGTTTACTATCTCATTTTCTTAACAAAAGCAGCACATTTGAGTCTCAAATTGAAAGAAGAGTAAGTGTAAGCAGGAGATAAATTCAAAGCAACTTCATTTGGGTGTAAGATAATTTGACAACTGACAGCTCCTTCAAAATGTGCGAGCAATTTTAATTATTTCCTGTAAAGCCTGACAGGACCACTTGGGCAAGCTTCACTCTTCCATCCTCACATACACCACAGCATGTGATGATCATGTTTTCTGGAGAAAAAAAGAACAAGAAACCCCTTACTTTTGACTTGTTGTTCAGGTGCTTTGATGTGTGTCACCATCCCTGGCATGTTGACACTGTTCCTGTGCAGATATTTTAGGAAGACATCAGCATTCCTCCGAGCCAGTGTGCAAGCCTGGAAAGTCAGTGGTATTATTTTATTTGAAGATGCACAAGTATACATCCAGAAAGAGATGAAGGACCTTGCTCACTCCCCTTTTGGGCATTTTCCACTCTCTCCAATTTTAGAAAGTGTTGCTTGTTAAATCCTTCTACAAGTAAGCCAATTCAATCATTAAAATGGTTTTCCCAATGAAGAGCAGTTAATCCTTACTTATCTGGCAGGGGAAAAAATCCCTGAACAACCACAAAGAAAATGCTTTTCTTCTTTATCTGAAGATCCTGAAAAGCAATTACCTGCTCTAGAGTTTTCAGCATGACTCAGAGCTCACACAGAAGTTTGTTCTGTGTATGTGCCATGTGCCACTCAAAGTTATTTATTGTGTAAACAAAGTGCACATGCTTATGTACTCACCTGCATATTCTGAAACATCCACCAGTACTTTAAGAAAAAGTAAATGCTCCCAAAAGTGTTAAAATATTAAGATAAAACCTTAAATGATTAAGGCAAGGCCTTGAGAGCTTTCAGTCCTTGCTGTCGTATTGCCAATGCTGAGCTCAGCTGCCTGCTTCATCTTAATGTACACCAAGAACTACATATGGGCTGCCTGTGTTTTTTGTAATAAGCAGAACATGAAATGCTACTTTAAAAGTTTAGATAAAAGTAGCATGGTTCAATCTGGTAATCAAGACAGCAAGTAACTTCTCACAGTTTTACAACAAAGATTGGTAACTCACACTCCAGCTACACAAAAGATCTATTTGACAGTATACTTAGACCTGTGTTAATGTGTTCTTGAATATTCTCATCTGTGCACTGAGAACAAAAAACTTTTAATAAAAACAAGCTTTATACTCTTAGTAGTTTTTCAAGGTGATGCTGAAACAAGCCTTTTGTTACCAGGTCAGTTACACTGCTCTGCAAGCATCCGTTACAAATTTATTCAGTATGATAAACAACCTTCTTCACTAGGACATTAGTGGAAACAAAAACCTTTCAGTATCTGCTCACTATGACACAAACCCAACTACTCCCAGATGCTTGTCTAGCAGTTTCCTCCTTCCAAACTCTACTGTAGTCCAATTACATCTGAGAGCTGCTCTGATGCACTGCCACTTCTCTTCCAAAGCAGAAGCCTTTAACCATTCTTTAGAGTAACAGTTGCTCAAAGCAGTGATTCCCAATCCCTCTTCAGTCACAGTGGGAGACCTGACATCTACTGAAACTCAACAGGAAATATATTTAGAAAACTGGCTACAATTTTATGCATTTGGCAATATTCTCCTAATCACTGTCAGAAGCAGTTAATGTGCCACTTCCCACATCTTTGCAGTTTGGGACATACCTGCAGTTTTTGAATGGGCACTATTGTTTTCCACATATGTTCCAGCACTCTAAGAGTGAGTGTTTTGACTGTGTGCTTTTCAAGACACAGAAGACCACAAAGAATTGGCAAAGCCTACCTTTAGGAATGCCTCCTTCTGTTCCAGATGTTTGCTTATCATAGGAGTGACATGATCAGTTTCAGAGTTGGGACCCAGTTTGTCTGCTCCCCCACACCAGTCTTCTTCTCGCTTATATTCCTGCTCCAGGCTTTCCAGAACACTGCACACCTATACGGAAGAAGGAGTCCAACTTGAATATCATTTCAGAAGACAGAAACTCAAAATTCAAGTGAAACAAAACCAAACCAAACCAAAAAAAAACCACCACACCAGAAAACCTATCTACCCCTTACATATACCTTAGTTTCTGACACGTTTTGGCTGGGACTTAAGAGAAGGCAACAAACTTTGGTGGTAGGTCTGCAAGCATTGGCCTGCTTATGTGGAATTACCCAGAAGGCTATCCCTAAAGTTGCTCATCTTTCTCCACCTCTGTGACTGCATAGTTCAGAATGGACTTTAAGATATGACTGCAGAGAATGCAGCTTTGCCAGTCTTCTGCCTAACTGTTCTGCAGACAAATAGGATGAAGATGATTTTTCTCTGATTCCCCCCCCCCCCAAAAAAAACGGAATTAGCCATCTGAAATACTTCCATTAAAACCTCTGTATAATTTGTTTATGGTTTAACCAAAACTTCTGGAGACAAGCAGAAGTGCAATTAAGTACAGTGTGTTTCATCTTAAAAAATGTTTTACAAGATTTTTGTCAATTAAAAATAAGAATTTGAGGAATATTAAAAGAGGAGAGCAATAGAGAAGGCAGAGGAAGGTTTTGGTCTTCACCAATAATCACCGGACTTTGGCAATATACCTACTTTGAAGTTTGCTAATTGGAGCAAATGTAGTCAGAACACTATAGCTTCTTAGCAGTTAGTGCAATCTGTCCAGTATTCATTTGTCACAGAATGGTTTGGGTTGGAAGGGACCTTTAGGATCATCCAGCAGTCCACCCTCCCTGCCATGGCCAGGAACATCTTTCACTAGATCAGGTTGCTCAAAGCTTCATGCAGCCTGACTTTGAGTACTTCAAAGACTGGGTTGCTGACAACGTCTCTTGGCAAACTATCCAGTGTTTCACCACCCTCATTGTAAAAACTTCTTGCTTACTCCCTCCTTCTGATCTAAACATATTCTCTTTCAATGTAAAGCTATTGCCCCTTGTTCTGTCACTAGAGGCCTTGGTAAAAAGTCTTTGTCTTATAAGACCCCTTTACATATTGAAAGGCTGCAATAGTTTCTCTAAGGCAGCTGGTAAAAGGTTTTGCTTTTTTTTTTGTTTTGTTTTGTTTTGTTTTGTTTTGCTTTTGTTTGTTTTATAGTTGCAGTTCTTATCAAATTAGTAAATATGATCAAACCCAGTCAACCATTTTTTTAGGTAATGCTGTTTCATGCCACACTGAAGAATTTTAAAGGTAGACACAGATCATGTAACATTTCTGTACCTGTTCAGAAGTTTTATAGAAGGCAACAGAGGCATTCACAAGCTTGAGACGGTCCTCCATCTTCAGCATCAGCTGTTGCCAGTGGGAAGCAACCTTCTCCGCACACTCCCGGATCATATCCATGTCGTAGTGATTGGCCTGCAGCATTGCCTCTGCCTTCTGCTGAACCTGCAGGGCACTCTGATGCGTTTTCTGATACGAGGGGAAAATTCAGGAGTTCAGTGGAGCACTGAATTTTCTTGAAGACCTCAAAGTCTCACATGTCCACCGCGTCAATGACGTTTGAATTCACATGCACGAACACCCATCAACTAAAAATAACTGTCTAATATTAGTCACTCAATGACTTCACTATGCAAATAAAAAGGAAATAAATCCTGTGGAGATTTATCGTCAAATCAACAATGACTAGCCATTTGTAAGCAAGAGCCCCTGTCTAGCATTAAGCCACACATGGGGTATCTCTCTTGTAGTATACTTTGTTACAGATTTAGGCTGACTTTCATCATGAGGTAAAAAGAAGATCTAAGGACATCTTATTTTGACTTGATTGCTGTTAAAGTCCTCACAGTTTTACTGTGGTCTTCTGCACATCAGCGCATGAATGAAGGTGTAGGCACGCAAGCCAATACAAAAGACACCTCTCTACTCACTGTAAGCAAATTTTTAACTGTAGTTCTCTGTGCTAACATACACTTGCCTAAAATCCAGAAACTCTTAACTATAATAAGTATTATTATATCTGAGTACAGAATGACCCAGAAAACACAAATTTAAACTTCATAGTATTTTATTCCTAAACTGACAAACACCTAGAGGTCTCACAATTTTTATACTTAAAAGCTCTCAAAATGAGTGCATATATTGCAAACTGTAACAAAACAAAACCAAAATCCCCTCCAAAATCCCCCAGAAGTAAGGGTAAGCATAAAACTGTACCAAATGGCAATGTAATGTGAAAGAGTTCCTGCAAGATAAGAGTACTTCTGAAAATAGTCTTCCCAAATAATCATAAGATTGGTTAATCTTTCAAAAAAAAGGTAAAGTTCTTAAAACAAATACGCTATGTATAGATAAGCATCACCGTAATTCCCTCAATAGTGAATATAAATTAATAACACTGTGTTTCAGTCAGTCATAAGATCTCTGGCTATTTTTTGAAGGGAATGACCAGTTCAATTTTAGTTTGACTAAAAAGCGACTGCAGTAGAATGAACACACCACTGCACACAAATTACAGTAAAACCTGTCAAACAAAAATGGAAACATTAAAGGACTGTATCAGAACACAGAAAACTGCTGTTTGCTGTCCCACTTATTCTTAATTTTAACAATTAGCATTATACGTTGTATTATAGCAAGGGAAACATCATTTTCAGTAAAATTGCTGTGAACAGCTATTGCTTTGCAAAGCTACTAAGGGGTACTGAGAAGATGCGTTCACCCCGATTTGCAGCTCCAAAATGAAGAACAAAAGCTCCACCTTCCTAGTAAGTGTTTTAATCTCTTTGATATAAGATTTTTTTTATGGGTTTTTTTATGTTTTTGTTTCTTTGACATAAGCAGCTTTTGCTAAGCTCAGAATATTGTAGCAGGAACCCATCAGTGCTAGTTGCAGAGACTCATTAGTTGTAATATAGGAGCTCTTGGCTATGGTCACTGAAATGGTGCTTTTACCTCTATTGCGTGTTGAAACTGCTCATGTTCCCTCTGTAACTGTTCTGCCTCCTGCAAAGAGCTAGCAGTGATAAGCCCAGCATTTAACATTGACTCTCCATTTCGGATCCAGCCCAAAACCTATAACAGAAGAGAAGACAATGAAATATGCAATTCCAAGGCCAAGCAACAAGAAAAGCATCATTGCTAGGGATAAAAACATTCGGGGTCACATGTAGTACTGGAATTGATGACTACATAAACCATTAATTCTATATTTAGAGTGAATTATGTATTCAATGAACACAGTGAATGACAGTCACTATAATTTCACTTAGCTGACAACTCCTATCTTTCAGTCAACCACTACATGCTTGTGGGTTTCAGTTTATACTCTGAACAAGGCTGTGTTTCTAAATACCATTTCTGGCACCTGGAAAAAAGGAACATGTTACAAGCAGTATTTGCCTAAGAACTAGTGTCAGTAATGTCAATTGAGGACATGCAGCTTGGCAAAAACTAAATATTTGTAAATATTAATGCTGAGAAAATGTGACCATTGAGTGTTTCCTAACAGCTTACAGATAGTCCGTTTTCAAAATGTGCTGCCTTGGACACTCCACTGAAACCAGAAGAATGTTGGGGTGGGGAAGCCTCAGGAGGCCACCTAGTGCATTCCTCACCAACAGCAGGAACATGCAACCTTAAGGCCTCTCCCAAAATCTGTCTTTCACCAGACAAAAATAAGTCATGAATCTTTCTAATGTCTAAACTTCTCTGGCTCTAATTTTGCTTTGTTTCATTTCTCCTGCCACAACCAAAGGAAAGAAAAGACAAAAACAAAAACCAGCCAACAAACATTTACTCTCGCTTAGCATCAGCTCTGTTTTTCCCTCTCCTCCCTCCATCAAGAACACTCGCCAATTCCCTCCTCTAGATTCCTCTTCCCTTGTTGACCATAGTCTGTTCAACCTCTCCCATGTGAAGTTAGCCACCTTATTTTCCTCAGGGTTCTTTTACGAGCTCTCTCCAGTTGATAGCCAATGGCTTCACACACTAAGTAAAGCTGCACATAATTCAGGTTACACACTGTCATCGGCACAACTTTTCTATAGAACTGCTGCCCATCCAGCAATTACCCCTGTGCTGGACTCCTTCAGCTGACTGCTGCTAGCACATCATGCTCTGCATTTATCACTAATAAAATTCATCTCCTTGCAGCACAACTCTCCCACACATCAAGATAATTCTGAACTGTAATCCAGTGTCTTCTGATGAACTCAAAGCCTTCTGTCAGCTTCATTTGCCTTTATCATCAAATTTAAAAGCATAGTCTCTATTCTTATATGTAGATTTTCTGATTGAAAATGAACTAGTACCCAAATACATATTTCTACAGGGATTTTTAAAAATTTTGAAATCTGTTTTCCAATCCAGTGAGTCTCTTAATAACTTTTGTTACTGAGTATGGTTTTCCAGCAAGGTCCCATTCATGGTAATGTCGTCTCCTATGACATTCTCATAGTAAGCTATAGCCAGATAGACTGAACTAAACTAATTTAAAACCTTTAATAGAAGGAAGATCTATATTGTCTGCTTTTACACCTCTACCCAGAAGACCTGTTACCTTGTTGGGAAGAAACGGGCTTTATCAATGGGAAGCTATGCTTGACTCATCTATGTTAACCTTTTCTCCTCTCCTCCTCACTGTTCAGGTTTAATAATCTATCTGTTTTTCCCACTTCTGCCTGTACAATGAATACCTAACAATGTGATTTTGGTGGTGGTGGTTGGTTGGTTGGTTGGTTGTTTTCCCCTGATAGCATGTAATTTGAAGTGTTCTATCTAAATCCTACAAGTCTGTAGAACAGAGTAAGCCTGCAGTATAGACACAGGGCATGACAGCACCTCCCACAGATGGAACCAGGTACACATTCTGCTCCTCTGGGGAGGAAGCACTGGGTCAGGTGGAGCCTTATGGGGAGGCAGAAGATGGCTCTGGCTGTGGAACAATCTCTCCTGCTTGCAAGAAGACACTTCCAGATCACAGTGTGGGCACATATGAAAGGGACCATGAAAGGAGTTGGGAGTTTCTAAGTTATCTGGGGGTTGTTAATATTAAAGGGAGCAAGCCTAGGTAACCCTCAGGAACAAGAAAAAGAACCAGATGGGTCCAAGAGACTGTAGACAAAAATTAAGCTTGGAGGAAAGAATTTGTCTGTAAGAACATGAGAGGCAGGATATTTTCTTAAATCTCTTTTTTATTTCTACTTTGTCTTACAAATGTCTTACAGTTCTAAGCTCCCTCTCTACCTTACAAAATAATTCTTCCAGGTATAGTGTAACAAAACATACCTTCTTAGGGTTAAAATAGTTTTAGCCTTCTGCAGAGAATATATTATGAAGAAGAATGCTTAAGCAACACCAGTTCAAGGCTCCTCTTGATTTAGCATCCCATCACACATAGCAGAGGCAGGTAGCACAGAACTTAACATTTCAAACACATTGATTTTCCCTCTTGCTTGTTGCAGGTCAGGGTGTTAAGTGCAGAAACTGGTGGAACTCACAGGAGGAAAGTTGCCAGCAGCATTTCTCCCTTCCCTCTGTTCTGACTCCAGGAGAAAATACAAGTGCTAGTAAATAGCGAGCCTGTTCTTCTTCCAGGGCTGCTGACTTCCAGTGTTTACTGGCATGTTCCCATGACCTCACTGTCTGGGTAGACCACACACCCCCAACTTTCCCTTCATAGCTTTCAGCAGGCTAGAAAAGCATCAGCAGAGCATCAGCAAAACTGTGGACATGAAACGGAGTTTAGGACTCTTGAAAGGGTCAAACAGGTAGTTCTGTAGACAAATGCCTGATTTAAGAATAGTTTTTTGGACTGAGTTTTGACTCTAACTAAACACAATCACAAGACAGCCCTGCTTCAGCCTGCTGTCCTAGCTACGTCTTCATACCCATATGGCACTATACAGAATGCCAGGATGCTCTTCCTGAGCAGTATTTTGGAAGAATCACAGCTCAAGCACTGGACTGTGTTTTCATCAAAAGATCTGCATGTGAGAACACAGAACAGCTGAAGGTATTCCTGATGGTACAAGCTTGTACTTGGTATAAGTATCTGTACACTGTTGTACAGATATGAGTATATAAGCATATATCCAAGAACATACACTATGATCAGAGAAGTGGACAATATTGCACTAAAAAGGCTTAATGAGCATAGTAAGGCCAACTGGTTTTGGAGCTTGGTAGAGATTCTGACGCAGGCAGATGCTGCATGTTAAGCAGAGTGAAGCATTCATTCTACAAAGTGAGTATGTGGAAGTGATTGTAACAGTAAGTAATCCAGCAGCTATATTTCAGGTGCTAAAGAAGTCTGTCTGGCAAGTAAGTGGACATGTCTGGCACCTGGACATGCGAGTGGAGTTCTGGATGATACTCTTTTAACTATTTTCTCTGCCTCTACCAACTCATACATCCCGGCCCTATATCAAATGGTCACATTTTCTTTTCTACGTCGTTTTTCCCCATACAGCTGTCGCTTCTTATCTCAGTGAGCATCCTCTTGCCCCTATCTTCCAAGGTTTTCCTACACTGTAATCTTGTTTCTGGTTTTGCCCATTCTCACCTATTACACATCAAGTTGATAAACAAATTCGTTGCAGGTTTTCTTTAAACCTCCGTCTGTCTTTGGCCCTTCTGCTTCCTCCTTGTCCTGAGGCTTGATCTACAGAACTTCCATGTCACAAAGCAAAACTGGTACAGTAACTAAAGGAGAAGCAACATTGGATGTTTTTATCTGATTTCTGCATTTATTTGATAAGAATTTACTAAGCACCAAGTTTCACTACCTAGTTCTACCAAGACACTCCTTGTGAGTATTTGACTAAAAAAAACTAGGAGCCAGGAGACAATTTGCTGGTGTCCATTCCAATAATCTGAGAGATAAGTCCCATGGAAAAATTCTCTAACCTTTTCAGATGACTAAAAGCTATATATTTTTATATTTTATTTATATATATGTGAAAATACAATAGCAGTAATGTCAGTTTGGCCGGAAAAATTTAAATGGAACTCTTGTTAAAATCCTTGCTATGGAGACAGTACCCATCTACATAAGAAGTATGCTTGCACCAAGTTCATCTCTGATCTGGCAGAAAACTCACAGTTGAGAACTGGAAAACCATGTGTTCACTGCTTCAGGCAAAAAAATACAAACAAAAATGATTGAAGTGGAGGTTTACTGTGTCGTTTTAGTCTTGGGTAAAGCACCTGCTGAGATCTGCTGAGCTACAAAGTTTTTCCCAGTGCAGAGGAAACAGGAGAAGACCATGCTTCTTGATACTTAATCAAAATGAAAATAAATCACATGTGGTTTTCTGAAAAGGCAATTGAAATCACAAAACGAAGAGTTACAAGCCCCAAAGCATTCCAAAGGAGATCAAAACAAATCCTATGAGACAATATGATGAGGCTTTCTACAGGCAGCTG